CTAACTCGGCATCAGTCAGATATTCGGCAAACAAAGCAAAAACTAAAAGTTCATGTAACACAACCAGACAATACGTGTAGGGAGCATAAGTTGAACAAAAAAATTATAAAACAATTAAAATACAACGAAAGCCCCCCGATTGTTGTTCCAAAATATAAATTAATCTTTTTTTGGAGCGAAAAGTCAGCGTGTACTTATTGGAAAAGGTTATTACAATTCATCCAAGGTATAAACAAAACGATATTGCATGATCCAAGAAGTGGACTGAAGACTTTAAACATGTTTAACAATTGTAAAGTAATGGAAATGATGCATAACGAGCAATGGACAAAAGCTGCTTTTGTGAGAGAGCCTAGAGAACGAATTTTATCATCATATTTAGACAAGGGCCAACACAGATACGTCATGAACGAAAATTGTAAAATCAATCGTATAGTATCTTTTCAGGAGTTTCTAGAAGTTATAAAACATTGTAAGAACGGACACTGGGACAAGCAACTCAGAGCTCCGGAATATTTTTATAAACAAATGATGGTTGGAAAATTCTCCGAAATATCTTCGTTCACAGAACGGCTTTTGAAAAGGATAGGAGCATGGAATGAAAAAGTTAAGCATTGGATAAAATCAAATAAACAAATTTACCAGCCACATGCTACAAACGCAAAAAGTAAACTCTTAACATATTACAACGATACAAGGATCCAGGATTTGATTTTTGATTTATTTTCTGATGATTACAAAGTTTTTGGTTATAACAGAACTTATTTTATGTAACAATGATTTCATGCAGCCTCATCAACGTCTTTCATTTATACTTAATATAACTTATATTCAGACAAACATTGTCTAATTGATGAAACTGAAGAAAACAAGTTATAGTCAATTGTGTATAACAAAGGAAATATATACAGCCTGAGTTACTGTATTAGACTTTAGATACATGTGGTTATGACTTCATGTAAAAATTTCCGTTTTACTTGAATATTTAATTAATTATTTTAATATTAGGAAAGACATTTTTAGGAATTCAACGCGTAAAGTTTGCATAAAATATAATTCGTCCTGTAGTTTTAGAGTATGCGGGACTCAACTTATTGTTGACAAACGTCAAAGAGATAATTTGCTCTATTGTTTCTCTATCCGCAACGAAAAACTATTTAGCTTTTTGAAGATATCGTGGTAATCATGATTTTAAAGATAATTGCCTATATGCACAATTTTATTTTTAATCATTAGGCAGTTGAATAAATTGTTGATGTTGTTGATATGTTTTGTGAACAATGTAAATATTCCAGAACATTCTGATTTCTAAATATTATCCACATGTACGTTAAACAAAGCAAAAATGAATTTGGAAATACTCAACACTAATGATATGCGGCTATACGTATTCGATTAGCAAGATGTTCGACGTGAAAATGGTCTGGAAACATTGTACATAATTCCTAGAAACTCGGATTACCAGTGAGTCCTAAGACAAAAATCGATGAACATGTACTAAGAAAATATAATAATTCAATAAATAGGAGATTTTTCACCGATAAATTTGAAAAAAGCGTCACATGGTTAAGCATACTCACATTCAGCTTGCTGATTAACTTCGGACATCCTAGCTGGCCTCCAAGGGTGAATAGGGAATATAAATATAGTCACTTGGTCTTTAATCGACCGGCAGTAAAAACCTTGACGACGTAGGGTGTCTGTTTATCTGTTCGGGATGTACATTTACGCAGTCACGTCCGGTCAGAATGGGACGTTAAATCCAATGACTTGTAAAAAGAGAGCGCCATGCTGTCTGCACGTTAGAAATCTTGCAACAACACTTTGAGGGGTCCGCAGGTGGCCTGTTGAAAGGCAAATATTTTGTTCCTAACCAATATATTCTCATTTTCAAGCGGCAGTCTAAATTTGCAAGCATTCATCCCGGACGGCTTCTATTAGAGAACGTTTACCAAATTATTGTTAAATGTATAAAATGTTTGCCACTGGAGATTAAGCAATTAACAATCAATCATTCGGAAGTCTTGATTTGAAAAACTACGTAACAGTTAAGGGATGGAAGGACGGACAAAAACGGACGAACAGAGATAAAACAGTTCCTCGACTCTTTTAGAGCAGGAGATATGATAGACTGGTTCACGATCGCAATATTCAGTATGTTACACATATACAAATATAAAACTAGTATATATCGATGTAATCATATCTCTATCCTGGTTCCTGGGACTACGTTCCAGGTACTAGCTGATAGCCATACACTGTCTCGTGACAGTAAATTTGCCCTTTGTATGCATAGAATGATTATGACACATATCTTGTTAACGTAAACTTTAAATGGCTCATAGAAAAAGGAAAACAATATTATCGCCAAATTGTGTTGGGATCATGAAGGGATTTTGTTACTTGAAAATGAATTAATGCGTATGAAATTGTAAAACACCAAGGTACATATCTGTTAAAATCATATCAGTATTTTACAAAACTTTGAGATAAGCCACAACATAATGACACCGATCCTTTGCTGTTTTAAACAAGGAACACTACCTTTGACAGCAAGAAAATGGCATGTTGGTGGTCACTCAAATTACAGTATTTAGTAATAAATGATGGCTTCAAAATTATGTGTATACACTCCAGTAGTATCAGCTGATCCTTCTCCACATGTGGCTTCCGCTGTGTTGGTTATGTGGTGACACATTCGTTGTTATGTCTAATTCGTTGATGTAAGTGATGAATTTGAGTAAAAGGGGACGGGGTTTGGTGACATCTGTGAAATATATTTTCCATAATGATCAACCAACTCGTGATAGAGTCCGTAGAATTTTCAAAGGAATGACTTCAACATCTCCACTTGCAACCCTTGGCTAAATAGCTTCAGGGTAGGATATGCAGGCTCTTCTGGAATGTTTCTACATAAAAATGGAAAGTTCACAATCAGGATGCTAAAATTGTCTTATTCACAAAACCAGCAAAATTTTACAATTAGTTATAAAAATATGACAAGCTAATGATTTCGCAAACGATTTGTCGACGATTACTATTTTGGCACTATCTCATATATCTCCCTGTTATTTTTGCTGATAGAGCTCGAGTGGCAACATGTAAGTGGGAGATTTAGCTAGCTATAAAACCAGAAAATGCCTGTTCCAAGTGAGGAAGGAATATGGCAGTTGTTTTTTCACTTATTCCGTTGATTGATAGTGTTTGCTTTTGTCAGTTTTTATGAATTTTTCATTTTTAGAATTGCATTGGAGTTCGGTATTTTTGTTATACTTTTTAAAAGGGGCATTAGCTACGAGATATAACAAAAAATAAAACATGATTTGTTTTTGTTCAATCACTAATGAAAGTAGAATTGTGAAATAATAATTTGCTTTTAGCAGCAAATTTAGACAATTTTTTTCAAAATAAGCTAAGAAACTTCGCTGATGAATTATTCACTTGCAAATGAATAATTCGACCTCATTGAATCGGTATTCATGTGACCTTCAATTAAACCCGTTGGCTGGAGATGGGTTATGCATGTATTCAGCTATTAAAAGGAAAAGAATATCAACAATGAAAGTGAAACAAGGATTAACCATTTGGTTGATTGACTAGATCCACAAAAATTCATTTTTATATAGGTAAAAATGATGATATACATACTTTTTAACCTGCAATATGAAATCAAACAGACCTCAAAAAATCAAATTGCACGTGGTCGCTTTCTATTCATATTTATATTTATATTTATGTTTATATCGGGTTGTATGACCGTCGGCAGTCTTCGGAGGTCATTTCGATGGTTAATTAGATGACGTCTAGACACGAATTGTTGATACATAATATCGAGTCCATGCATTGTTAATTTGTTTATTTTTTGTAATATGGATATACGTTTTAGTACTAGTATGTTATAAATCAAATATGAGAATTTGTGTCAAATTGGTGAACATGAATTTGACAGATAATGCCCCATTAACACAACCATTGTTTCCTAGTAATTGCTTTCTTACTGATATAGAGAATTTAACATCGAGTCCCTGTAATGCAAAAACCAGTACAAGTGGAGTCTCACGTTCTTGTGATACATCATCATATATAGACGTGCACCTTCAGTCTTTTTGATGGATCTCCTTATAAAAGAGGAGAGTACTTCAGTTCTTTGTGATTAATCAATCGAAATAAAGGGATACTTCAGATTCATTTTACCACACCACCCTATATAGGGGATATCATGTCATTGTGCTAAATTACTCGATCAAAGGGACAACGTCAGGGTTTTTTTGGCGCATCACCCTATAGAAAAAGGGTTATTAGTTTTGCTTATTTTCTAGGTTGTATGGCTCCATGTAACTGTTCACATCCTTGTCCTTTGGTCTTTGGTGTTCACATTTGCATTTTTACCTCATTTCCTTATTTGTACACTGTGAAGAAGATGTTTGCTTTTTTGGAACTTTTAATAATTATCCTGTGCGACACAATACATAAGAGACGGTCAGGTACAATCCAAGTAATCGTTGAGAACGACTGTCGTTATCTGTAACACTAACGATAGGTTTATGATAATCCAAGTGAAAAGTTTGTCATAAACTGTTTGCATTAGTTTAAGTCTGAACAGGAAATAAATCAAAATAAGAACGACATTTAGGAAGGGGGTTTAAAGGGTTCATTGAATACATTTCAAGGTATGTTTATTAATATTCGGTTCCGCTGCATAGACAAAATTAAAAATTTCATATACTTCTCATGTTTGATATATTTTCCAACAGATATAAAGTTAGTTGTTTTATTTGTATTCATTCATTTGGTTTTCTCCTCTTTATTACCAGGGTTATTGACGTTTGTCCTTATTGTCCTCAATAAACAAAAACATAGATAATTTTATATCTGTGGGAAAACGTATAAAACAGTTTTGTCAATAAGTCGAAACCGAATATTTCTTAACATCCTTTTGAATTTAAACAATGACAATTTTAACCAAAACAAATGACTTCGCATTCTGATTTATTCTCTGTTCAGACTTTAACTAGCACAAATAGTTTATAACAAACTTTTAACTTAGATTATCAAAAAACTATAGTGACTGTACCAACGAAAGCCATTCTCAACGATTATTTGGATTAGACATGGCTGTGTTTTGTGTATTTTTTGCACAATTATTGGCGGTCGTCAAAACAAAAGACATCTTCTTCATAGTGTGAAGATATGGAAATGAGGTAAGATTTCAAATTGGAAAGTAATCAACAAAAGACCAAGAACAAGGACGTGGACAAGGATGTGACAATTACAGGCAACCATAAAATCTTCGACAATCAGCAAAACTCATGGCTCTATATTCATAGTTTGTTTCTTGTTGAATTTGTTTTTTTGTTGTCTTTTGGTCGTTTTTTGTTTTGTTTTTACCATGTCGTGGTCAGTTGTCCGTTTGTTTTCGACGTAGTACTTTGAATATCTCGTGATGATATAATATGTATTCTTTGATATATAGACAGATTTAAGGTGAATATTTTATTTGCTTGTTTACACAAATTTGGATTTTTACCTCAAAAAAACTCACTGCTCGTAATATTTACAAATTTCGGTTGCAAATATCCATCAGTAAAGTTATATATCTATTGAGCAAAAAACCACGACAAGGACACAGGAAGTCTTAAATGACATAACACCTAATTGAAGCACATCTTCTCTAAAAAAACCCTATAACAGATTACTATCTTGTTTCATACGGTATGGGTTTTGTTCATTTTTTAAAGCCGTGTTGACCTGTCATTATTTCTTGATATCTATTAGAGAATTGTGTCATTTGTCTTTACAACATATCTACTTACATTTATTTATAAGATAATATAAATATTATCAGGCAATTAACTAACAGAATTTTACGTTTAGTATCGTGTTGTAAGTGGAGTTGAACAATTTTAATTTTATAACTGTAAAGAGTGTTATGGTTAAATCAGAATAGATTAATATGATTAATTTTACATCATCATAATCATACTGATGAATGACATCTGTTATCCGAAATATTTATAGATACTTATATTTAATGTTTCCTTTTTTTAATATTGGTGTTGTTTTGTACACATTTTTTCTAGTTATTTTTATATCGACCAAAAGACCAAATATTTTGTAGAAAAACGTAAAATAGAAATGCATATAGAAAAAAAAACTTAACTTTATAATACACATAATAGTTATCAAAGGTACCAGGATTATAATTTAATACGTCAGACGCGCGTTACAATACTATTGCACAAAGTCATAGAACACTAAATAGATATATATATAATCAAAAGCAAATATTAGATCATGGTAACCCCTTTAATCGAAATTTTAGTATTTTTTAGTTTTAAATTTCGACTGACACGTTTCAGTGGATGTCACACAGTAACTTCTAACTATGCATGCGGTTTCAATCTTCTGTGATGACAAACTATATATGTACACAATTTGATTTTAATGCAAAGGAAATATGTAAATAAAACGACGCGTTATAAGCTTTCAACGACACATTACAATACCAGGCCTAAAGGAAAAAAACATCAACATCTCTTACAATCTCTAGGAGGAAAACAAATACAACGAATACAAAAACATCGCCCATATCTTGTAGTGTGAACCAATTTTCAACATATTCAAATGTTTTAAATTAAAGCTATAGAAAAAGGTGTAAGTAATTTTCCACCAATATTTTTCAAAATGCTGTCTTTAGTTTTATGAATCAATATGTCATTGGGACGCGGATCTTGGATTTTGAAAAAAAGGGAGAAACAAACTAGACATAGTTTGGATTTGGACATCTGAAAAGTCTATGCATTAACCATATATGTAGCTCCATAAGGGGGACCCGGACTCGCTGCCCCTTAATGCGCCTCTGGCATTGTTATCGACACGTTTTAAAATGAATCTGCGTACCCTTCCGGAACACCTAAGATCATCGTCGGTTTTGTTTGTGGTTCATGTAAGTTAGTCTTTAGTTTTCTATACTTATTTTTGTGTATTATTGGTTGTCTTTTGGTTATATTTTTATTTTTGTCATGGCGTTGCCAATAAGTCATCAACACAGGAATTTGAATATCCGTTAATAATTCTCTTTTACGCTGTATAAAAATATAATTCAATTATAATTGTGTAATCATTGTAGTAATAAAGATGTATATGTTCCGTACATAACACTAGTGTATTTTTGAAGGTTAAATGTACAAATATAACGTGGTAAATCTTTTCCTGAGGGATACAGAACAAAGAACTTCTGCACGCATCTATATATTTGGTTAAAACTTTCTACACTTCAGACATGAGCATTGTTTTGAATAAGTGTTTTCACTAAACAATTATTTTTATACAAAGGACAACCAGATATTTTGACACATATATTATTCTTTATCATTTTTTGGGGCTTTATCAAACGAACTTACAGAAAAAAAAAATTGATGTGTACCTTATGTACGTTAACATTCGAAATGTTATAGTAAATATTCGTAGTCGGATATGATAAAAAAAAAGTTCATAATATACATTTATTTTCCGTGCCCGAGGAAGATATGAAGATTTCTTCACTCTCTATAAGTCATATTTCCCTCGGGCAAGGGCCTCGGGAAATATGACTTTTAGAGGGTGAAGAAATCTTCATATCTCCCGAAGCCAAGGGAAACTAATGTTTATTCCACTGCCTATACTTTGTTTACTACTAAGTATCTGAATATAAAACATTAATTTACATACATTTTTCTTACCCGCTTGTTCTCATAACAAAAAACGACATAATTTAAAACATTGATAAACAGTACCGATGAAAAGAAAATTATCTATTATTTTTGTTTTGATTTAACGTCTGAAATAATTTTGAACACGATAGTGATCGTAATTTAAAAACGTTCAAAACGCAAACGTTCTTCCATTAACCGCGCGTAACGTCGTACAAAGAAGTCCCGATGTTCAGAAGGGAATATGATAGTCAGAGGGGAATATGAAGTTTTGTTTAATGTCTCGTGGAATGGTCTCAACCAATCAAATATTGATTAAGCTATTAAATTTAACATACAATGGAGTAATGTTATTTATACCATATTTACTCATATGTGTATGTCTTCATATATTTTCAGAGATCAAGCGGCTAATATAATTCAAATTAAAACCAAATATGACCAGATATTCAAAATATAGAAAAGTTCTTTTGCTGTTGATGTTTATACTTCTTTTCTTTATCATAAAAAAGAACACACCGATGAACGATACTAAACAACAAGTGAATTATATGAACGAAATAGAAAAGGTACAAGTAATGTGTGGCGAGCTCTGCAATTCATCGAGTGTTGGACATCCAGGACTATTTTTTCACAAAACAACATCAAAGGTAAATTGCAAGTCATTATTTAGAAAGAGTACGTTAATTCGATCCAAGGACTCCAACAGGCTCCTAGAAATACAGTCGACTCTCGTTATCTCGAAGTCAGCGGGACCAGAGAAATATTTTGAGATACACGTAGTTCGACTCAAAAGAAAACCGGAAGTTTGACAGACCAAGGGACACAACTCTTGCTTAGCTTGGTAAAACTAAAATAAATCCGGATGAATGTGGAAAGGGGATCGATATTCTGGTATCAGTTTAATGTATTTGTATGTCATGGTCTTTCATTATTATTATTATAATAACATTATTTTTACTTATTCAATTGTTTCAGTTATAATTTTTTCCTATGGCTTTTATCCGAGAGAGTAATTTCCCAATCGATCTTAGCGTTATTTAGACCATTTAAAGTTGGCAAAATTGTTTATTCTCGGATACAAGAGCTTTAAGAAAATTTTGATTTCTCTTCATTTTCTTTCAAAAGAAAATACAAGATTAAAGACGCCGATTGAGTAGTTTTTAGGTGATCACCAACGGAAGTCTTAATCCCCACTTTATACACATCCAAGCGCATTAGTGTAAATCACGATTAATTGTTTTTGTAAACATTTTAAATACTTTTTCATGAATATTAACAATGTATCACTGATTATTTTAAGATTTTTTATTAAAGATAATCTTAAGTAAACACTCGTGGAAATAGCATGTCATGCATAAATCAATACAGTGGTCAGTGACCGGAAATTTAATTACACGTGTATTGTCAGATTAACTCTTCAATCCATTTAAATCCCTGAGGTCATGTTTTGACATATGTGTATTAGTTCGAGATAAATAATGAATTTTGAATGCTTTTGTTAACCTTGGGACCGTAAATTTAGTTCGTTCGACTCAACCGAAATTTCGACTCATCCAATTTCGACTCATCAGGAGTCGAAATACATACATTTATATGGAACAAAGTTCGGGACCACGTGAAAACTTCGACTCATCCGAAATTTCGAGTCAACAGTGTTCGAGACAACGATACTCAAATTTTATAAAAGATTTTAATATCTTCGGAAAAGTAGGATTTAATGAAATATTTTTCAATAAGGCAAACCCAAATGATTATTGATTGATTGTTGGGGTTTAACACACTTTTAATACGAAATATGTTAATTATTTTTTATAAAATATGGGAAATTTAGCTTAGTCAATAAGTTGCAATATACTGTTCACTATCTTTTTCACAAAGTTGACTGCTAGGTAAAAAAATTAATTTAAGTACCAAATATAGTCATTGCAAATTAAAATCTGCCATTTTCAAACAAATATTTAAAAATTTACATTGCTTCACGATCATACGTACAACTATCAATATCTATAGATATATATAAATTGTGATGTTGTATGATTGCAGATGCGAAACTATCAAATTACTAAATTTAAGCAAGTATAGACCACCATACGGCTTTCAACTATGAGCAAACCACTTACCGTAAAGTCAGCTATTTAAGGCATTGACAAAAATCTGAAATAATACAATTGGGAAAAAAAACAAAGGCCAGATTTGTGAAGAAAAATATACCTAACAACAACAACGACCACCATTGAATTACCGGTTTTTGACTTGAAACTGGCACATACATAATGTGTCGGTGTTAAACATGATTGTGTGCGCTCGGCTCCCTCGAGCCAGGGTCAGTGGTGTATCAACACTACATAAGATTTGATTTTGATTTTTTGGTGTTTTAACGCCACTTTTAAGCACCGCTTTTGGGCTATTTCGTGGCGGCCAGTTTTTATTGGTGGAGGAAGCCGGAGTGCCCGGAGAAAACCACCGACCTTCGATAGGAAAACTGACAATCCTAGTCAATTAAGATTGGAGTCGAGTGCACCCGCACGAGCGTGGTTCGAACTCACAACCTCAGTGTTGACTGGCTAGTGATTACAGTAGTAACTACTTAGACCGCTCGGCCACCGAGGCCCCCACTACATAAGAAGAAAATGCACAAACCTGTAAAAATGGCTTGACATCATCATCATTCCTCAACTAATATCAACAAAAACTCACAAAAAGACAAAAGAAACAGAGTACCAACCTAGAGAGTTTCAGTTAATGAAAGCTTTTTAAACAAATTTAAAGTTTAGCTCTAAAGTTTAGTTTAAAACAACTCTCTGGTATGAATAATGATATATAGATGGTGGCATGTCACTTAATAACCCACATTTCAGTGAATGCTTCCACTAACTTCAAAACTAGATGGTTTGCTTCAATGTCTGGATCTTTTCCTCGATCTTTACATTGATGCAAGACTTAAAATTAGAATCTGCTGATTGTCTTTTGTCAATTGGTCACAACCTATTTCACAGCGGAAATATACCCTTTGCTCCATCGTATGGCGTTACATATCTCAACTGATACGTTATGTTCGTGCTTGTTCACACTATGTGGACTTCATCTTCAGCGGTGTTCTCCGTAAACAAAAAACTGCTGTATCAAAGTTTATATGTATATTGTCATTGCTTTTGTTGTAGTTCGGTGTTTCTGTTGTTCCGTTGTTTTCCTCTTATAGTTGATGTGTTTCCATCGATTTTAGTTTGTAACCCGGATTTGTTTTTGCTTAATCGAATTATGACTATTGAACAGCGGTTTACTACTGTTGCCTTTCGAATTGGTTGACCGATACGATATGCATGCGTTTCAACTGACAAACGATCTGTTTTCGCAGTTTAATATCTTTATATACCAGAATAGTCGTATAAATCTTTATTTAACCGATTATGTCTTTTTTCCTGATATGGACAGTGTGTACTCACACCGCGGGTGATGCTTAGAGAGCAAGAGACGCTTACATTGTCAATACACTCGGTCGCGTTCCTTTAGGTGTTCATATGCTTCCCTCAGTCTTTTGTTGTTGCTTTAATTTGTATTCGTGGTTGATTTGTTAGATTTGAACACAGAAAAACTATTGCCTATATTTGCCAGGATGATTTGAATACATGAACGTTTTCTAGCTAACACATCAGCAAAGTAGTTGCAAAAACTCATTAAATATATACCGATCTTACAATTTGGTACACAAGAAATTTGTTTCTTCTACAAAACACACTTCATTGTCACTAGAATCATAACTGCAGGAAGACCAAATCAATTAGGAAGTTGCAGAGCCTTAAAAACCAAAAACCTGAAAAAAAAGTTGAGCCAAATTTCACTCATACAAGATATTTAAGCTGTGAAAACAGATGATTCATGATTCAATTGGATTTCAGTCGTATCATGAAATAAAGGCATATGCTGCATTTGTTCCCATGTGCCTACATATATTTTAACTGTTTTGTTTTTTTTTATGTAAAATATCACACCATGTAATGGGGAGTTGAAACTTAAGATGATTGACATATGTTAAATGAAAACTTTAAAAAAAAACTTTTAACTTTAAACGTACCTTAGTCTTTAGTTTATTATGGACAGAAATGAGATATTCTAAACAATTTCAAATCAATAAAATTCAAACGTAACCATGGTTAAATGGTACAGATACATGATTGCTCAGCCAATTAAATTGTTTTTATTCGTATAAACCCTCCATTCAGAAACAATGAAAACCATAAAATTCCGATACGCCATTTGTATCATTCCAGTAAATAAAAATGTGTTCAAATGTTTCGATAAAAAAACATGTATGTTGAAGAATGCATACGGCCATTCACCTTTCTAACATACTTTGAAAAATTGAAATATCTAATGAGTAAAAAAAAAAGAAAAGAAAAAAGAAATAAATATCTCAACTTACACAAAAAAACAAACATATATAAGACTGTGTAATTAGAAAATAAATTGGTTTAACCGATAGAGTATAATGTCTATTTGACAATTTGCTTATGTACTGACAACGTCAAAAACTTACAAAACCTATAGGCACAGCTGTTTTACTACGATGGTCTTCAGGATCAGCAGGTAAAAACAATGTGGATTGAGTATTAAAGCATCTCGTATTGATTTATTCACGTAAGTATATAAATCTTACTAACTTAAGTATGTAGCGTTATCTTATTCATCGTGTGGTTGTCTGTATGCATTCAAAAAAGTGAATTTTTAATCATTGTATCATGGGAAGCTATTACGAAAGGTAAACGTCAATATATGCAATCAGACGTTTTAAATGGCTAAATTGGACCTGTTTTTTTTTGTATGTCAGATAATTATATACTAAAATATATGCCTTTGTAAAAGTCTTAATATTTCTTTTCAGAATATCGAATCTTGTTCTGAAACTGTACATATCTTTTCTGCTGTAGCACAAGCAAAAAGAGATTTGAGTCTGATAGAATTTGTAGTTCTAAATGTTCTCGATGGCTCCAAGCATTCCAATTTCGACTGCTGTATTTATGGAGACGAGAAATTATCAGTATATCGCGTAAAAGCTGTTGTGAAAGAAACATATCCTGAAAACCGAAAATTTGCCGATCTTAAAGCAAGACAGTATCAATGTTGTGTACACAATATAAGTTTCCAGATGAAGCATATTCAATTGGTACGAAAAACGGAATTTTGTAATTCTTCTCATATTCGTCAGCCAGTGTTATACGCATCAGTCAAGAAAAACAAATTTGCAATATGTGCTAAAATAGCATATAACTATCTAAATCCATTGCATCTTATTGAATGGTTCGAATATCAAAAAATGATGGGTGTAGATACAGTACTGATATCACTACAACAAGTAAATGAAGATGCATATGCAGTATTAAAATATTATGAGAGAGAAGGCATTGCAATACTTATTTCATTTCCATGTAAATTGCCTGGTAATATTGGTATGTATTTTAAAGTGAAAAACATACGTATATAATTTAATCACTGAACAAATTCAAACATGCGAAAAGAAAAAAAACTAATTATTTCTAACCTTATACCTGAAAAATGGCAGAAGATGCCAAAGAGACGACAAAAAAAACAGAGACGACAAGTTAAAAATACATCGAAAATAATCAAACTAATTTAAAAACAACACTTTCAAATCCTCAAATATAGAAAAAAAAGTAGAACAAAAATATCGAACTCCAAGGTAAACTAAAAAAGGGAAGTCTGTACAAATTAACAAAGTCAAACATGAGACGTTAGCAACCAAAAGAACTAATCGAAAACAACTGTCATATTCATGACTGGCTACAGACATTTTCCGAAGAAAATGTTGAGTTAAACCTGGTTTTATAGCTAGCTAAACATCGCAATTGTACAACATAAGTTAATAGTTTCGCTATATTGACAAAAGTGGGTGAACAGCCCAAACAGACATGGCAAGTTAATGTGACAATAATTGGGATCTAGCAGTCAAAACTATGTAAACATACATCACAGACACTGACTTAACAATTCAAACAAACATGCAAACAAATCTGACACATCTAAGACGCCAACACAACAGTTTTTGTACATGATAGTATTGACAAACACGCCAACAAAATATTTTTTGTAGTTTATCATTGAAAACAAATATCTAATATCATACTTTCATGCCATGCTCTATGCTCATTTTAACACGAGTATGCATTATATTTGTCAAAATCTTTATACCGAGCACAAGCGAGGTGTAAAATGTTGACAAATAGAATGCCTACACATGTGAAACTGAGCATAAAGCATGGCATGCTAGAATTATTTCGATTCTAATAGGAAAATTTAGAATTGTTTTACTTCGAAGCAGGCCTATAAAACGATATAGAAAATCCACCATTTCACGATAAAAAAAAAATTAAAGATACATGTAAACTTACTTTTAGACTGATTTATTTTGATTTCCTAGTGAGCAACACCAACACAAATGTCATTTTGTTCTCCGGGGTTGTTCAAAAATACAACTGAGGTTGCAATTTCAAATGTGACGTCAATCACGTGCAGGCCATGTTATATTGCAATTAGAACATGGCTTTGTTTCCAAAGCAAAAGAAGAACGTCATAATTAAAATTCAATATAAAGTATACACTTTCTCAATAAAGTACAAATTAAGTAATATATTAAGGCAAGGGTAAACAATATGAAAACAACACTGTAAAAACCAATTGTGTCCGAATCGCACCACTCAATCCAACTGCAACAGGATTGACCAAAGTCAAACATCTGGTGGCTGAATGCATAAATACCGAGTCATTTCAAAAGTCATACAACCAACAAGAACATTATAGCACAGAGACAAATAAAGGGAAAACTATAAAGTTATAAAAAGACACACAACTTCAGCACTTAAAATCCATAACTCGAGACCATCTTGTATTATTTGTGAAGTATAAGCCGAATATTTATCAATAAGGTGTTTTTTCATTGAAGTGAAAAAAAATTTCGTGGTTCAAGTAGATCGATAGTTTTCGGTAACTTAGATAAACGTTCATCGAATACATATCAAAATTCGACATAATTTCTAAAGACCACTAAAACATTTATACTGCATATGTAGATCTAAGCAATCATACACAAGTATTTGTTTGGCATCTAGGAAAACACAATCACAATTGAATCAATTTTTATACGCTTTAAGCTACTCGAAGACGTCTATAAACGTCTAGATACACTAGGGATAATATCATTAAAAATTTGAAGATTTCCATAAAATTTACCAACTGTCTTGGATTAAAGGAAAGGTATCTAAAACTTTCTCTATGAATTTCATGAATATTATTGATAAAAAATAAGGTGTCAATAAGTCCCATTGTATTTTTATCAACTGAAATCGAATATAGCATCGTATAGTTTATGCACAGGTTATATATCTTATCTATATTTAAAAACATTGACAGTCTGCAATCATCTTGCAAATTGGGATAAATCCCGATTGCTAAATTTTTTTTTCAACAACAGTGATGCAATATTGTTTTCCGACCCCTTTATGGGTGTACGCGTATCATTACTGTACCATATTTTTTTTGTCATCACTGACTGTTTCTGCGTTTTGCTTAACCTGAAGATCATAAGAAACATTTTATTAAAGTTAAATCAATAAAAGTATTGAATTTCTGAACTTATGTAGCTTGCATATTCAATAACTCTGCTATTCAGAAATTGATACATTCCTATTTGACAAGATAGAACCACTTATTATTTCTTATACATATACATAATCCGGTAGACATTAGTTTCAGTAGTTATATCAGACGCCAGTATAGACAATAATGCTGCTTCAACATTAGACTGTGCAACACAGAACTTTCGATATGATCCCAATGGCCATTACATAACAGTTAACTTGAATATCTTTCAAGATCGAAAGGTTTTAACTCTTAAAAAAGGGACCAAATGTTTCTTTTAAATAGCCATAATTGTTATCAGTAAATGAAAACCATAATAAACAGTATTGTTATACATATATGCACTTCCATTTTCAACATAAGGAAATGCCTGTACCAATGTCAGGAATATGAAAGTAGTTTTCCATTTGTTTCGTGTGTTTGATCTTCGATGTTGCCACTTGATAAAGGACTTTCCGTTTTGAATTTTCTTTGGAGTTCGGTATTTTTGTTATTTTTCTCTTTTTCACGGTACTACAATCTGTCGATACATTTTTTTTGTCATTGCACAAGGTCGTGTTTTTCTCTGACTGGTAATGACGTCTTTACACCAAATCCATTGGATGTTGAATGTGTACTGATTGATACTTTAGTCTTAGATATATGACTTCTTTTATTAGTTGTTATTGGCTTTAAACTAGCTGTCAGTAACTGCGAGTATTCTCGGATCTGTACTTTGTGTCTCTTTTGTTGTAAGGGATGTATACATACCCTGTCACGTCTGGTCTGTGTTTTAGTTAGATTTTTTTTCTGCTTTGTAAAGATCTGATGAGTTAAGCCCTTTTCAACTGATTTTAATAGTTTGTTCTGATATGTCTTATGTTGTGCTGTAACACCACTGTCCCGGGTTAAGGGAAGGGTTGAGCGCTCACAAACATATATAACCCCGCCACATTCTCTTTGTGCCTGTTCCAAGTCAGAAGCATGTAGTTCAGTGGTTGTCGTTGGTTCATGTTTGTCATTTTTGTTTTTCGTATATTGTTTTGTTATAAATTAGGCCGTATGTTTTGTCAATTAAATTGTTTCATATTTTTAATGTCGGGGCCTTTTATACCCGACTTCACGGTATTGGATTTTCTCATTGTTGAAGGCCATACGGTTGCCTATGATTGCTTACATCTACTTCATTTGAACTTATGTGGATAACTGTCTCATTGGTAATCATACCACATCTCCTTATCTTTATATGATAAGTAGTTTAAAGTAATAAAGTTATGCATTTATCATGCAGGAAGACACACTTTAACAATATTCGTTCTTTTACGTTTTACACGGACACATCATTATGCAAAGGTTGAACATGTCTAGAAGTTGATAACACATATAAACTAAGAAAACAAAATATTCACGAATTAAAATGTATTTAAAAAATGCTGTAATAAATTTGCGTTCCTGATCTAAAATTTGAATTTGTTTTTATATTTCGTTGCTTCTATAGCTAGCAAAGAAATCAGTTAAGGCCCCAACATATAAAGAACAGTCCTGTGTGCATTATCTTAATCTAGATACAATACAAATTGATAATTTTGAATTATGCAACATTATTGTAGTCACCTCTTCACAGGCAGTAATAACTTACAATACAATTTAGTAATTTTATATACAAAAACGATGCACAGTAAAACTTTGAAGGATTCAATGCAATAATAAGTTGTAGGTATTAAAGTTTTTTTTTTTAAATATAACTGAAAACATAAAACAATCAGATACTGTGTATCAATATATTAAAATGAGTTAGACCAGAATAACTGTTTTAATCAAAGCCTTTTTGGAGTCTTTTTCGTCATTTTGGGTTTTATAAATGTTGATTTTAAATACTAACATAACGAAAGGGAAGTACTAACTACACAGTTATCGTCAGTATTTACACTAATATTATCCAGTTGTAAAAAATATATATTGTTGATGTAAGTGTTATTATGTCTTTATCATTCAAACACAATAAATTTGATAAATATTTTGCCGATTAAATGGACAAGGTTTTAATCTTTTTTAGACCGCGGCTTCTCACCGCATAAATGGCATTACCATCAAAGTACCCACGATGAACAGGTCGCAGTGTATTCATGCAAAGAAATTTTACAAGGATTCGATTTTGTGGCGGTGGTAGATTTAGACGAGTACATTGTCCATGGAAATTTCTCAATATACACAGAAATGCTAAAGGTAAATACCGGTAGATCGAAAATACGTAATTTCGAATGTTAAGCTTTTTAGATTTATAGGTATATATTTATATCTGCAAAAAATCATATATATGGCGTTTAAAATAAACCATAGTCTTTATATTGCCTTTCTGGTTTAAATTGCTCTCAGTTCTACTGTTCTGATGCTTGAACCTTTCTTGTAATTACCAGCCATCTTTGTCAACCTGAGTTAAAGGATACACTTACTTATATATAGTTTCAATGGCGTTTATGTTGTGTATCGTTTTTCTAAAATACTATAGGATATATATATATATATATATATATATATGTATTATTTAAATGGCTTTATGCGCTAATGTTTTTGAAGCGTTTCAAGCAAAATATCTAGTGGTAAGTCATGTTGTTTTCAGTTTTAAGTTATACACAACTATGGACATGACTATAACAAAAAAGGAGGAGATAAAATACAATGTGGACATTAAAAAAGTCAAAGAAATAAAGAAAAACCATGACAAAATAAAATAAATCAGAACAGAAATAATTACTGAACAAATCACTACATGGAAAACTGGATTCAAACATACGGATACCAACAATAAACTGTGGTTGAACTGATGTGTTCCAGAAGGTCAAGCAGTTACTGGTCTACCAGTGGAACCCGTCTTGTTGCTCAAATCAATATTGATTCGGTTATAAGTTCGTCAGCTCAGCAGTCATTTATTCGTTACTGACATGATTGATAACTAATAGATATGAGAAGATGTGGTATGAGTGCCAATGAGACAACTCTCCATCTAAGTCAAAATTTATAAAAGTAAACCATTATAGGTCAAAGTACGGTCTTCAACACGGAGCCTTGGCTCACACCGAACAGCAAGCTATAAAGGGCCCCAAAAATTTTAAGTGTAATACCATTTAAACGGGAAAACCAACGGTCTAATCTATATTAAAAACGAGAAACGAGAAACACTTATGAACCACATCAACCAACGACAACTACTGAACCTGACTAAGAACAGGTGCAAACAATTGCAGCGGGTTTAAACGTTTTAATGGTACTAAACCTTCACCCTTATCTGAAACAATAGTGTAACATCACAACATAGAAAGACACACTATAAAATATCAATTGAAATGGCTTAACTCAATCAAAAGACATATTAACACCAGTGAACATACACTGAATAAATAAATTTGATCTATGATACAATGTAAATACAAAATAAATAAACTAAGGGAAGAATAATTAAAGTAACATGTTATACCGCTATGAAATGTTTAACAGTTTAAGAAAAACAATATGCTAGAACACAAATATCAGCCATTTGCAATTACTTTAAACACAGGTAAATGAAAATAATTTTGTTGTTAGGTATACGTGTACAGTTCAAATGGAGAAAGGAAATATTTTTACAAAATAAATAATTTTGATGTTCATAGTACGAAGAAGTAAAAATTTATAGTAATACCAAATACTTATCAAAGCTGGTATATAGACCAGATATAACCAGATATAACCCTGAATAAGTAAATATTAAATAACAAAAAAGTATTACAATTAGTATCAACAGGTCAAATAAACAAGAAAGTACGATTTGAGAGTACTCGCAGTTACTGACAGCTAGTTAAAAGCCAAAAACAATTAATGATAAAAAAATCATGCATCAGAGACTAAAATCCAGGGGTTTAGTATTTTAACGTCATGGAGAGTCAAAGAAGACATGACTTGTGCAATGCCAAAAATAAATGTATCGACAGGCAGTAGAATAGTTAGGAGTTAACCTCTTTATAGATCAAAATGAACGTGGGTGTGTCTTTATACATCCCGTTTGAAAAGAATACAAATTTAGTTATGTTTTAATTTGCTGATGACAAAATCGATATTAGTGACAATTTAAACTATATTCAAAGGTCTTATTACAACATTGGAATGATAACCTTTACTAACGGATGTCAAGTTGGTTCAATATTCAACATTCAGCATTCAAGATTCAAATTTTTTTTTTTTTTTGTGGGGGGGGGGGGGGGGTTGTACCATTCATTTTCAACATTCAACATTTGTTTTCAACATTCAACATTTGTATGTTTTACATTGTGTATAATCATACACTGTATGTACTATATATATATATGTATTGCACGAAGTGAGACTAGTATGATAAAATATTAAATCTGAATCTGAATCTTCTTAATCATCTCTAAAATACTAGAATATATTTATTCATTTTTATCTCAGTAGCTTAATAAACATTATCATAATGGATAAATACCGTACATACTATCTCAGATAGTTATATAAACAAAACAACGGTATTCAATACAAATAAAACTAAAAGCAATTCATGTATACAAATAAAAATACATGAAACTCCGAGCAGCCAATTCTATGAACTACTTCGTGTTGTATTATATGTGCCATATCAAATGGTTCATTCCAAGCCTTGTTTCGGTAGGCGAGGAAAGAATTTTTAAACGTTATAATCCATATTCATTTTATCTTTTTCTTAATCATGTTAATTATTATTTTGTTGACCACTCATTTCACAAAATGTAAGAGAAATGTTTGAAATATGAATTTCAAAAAACAGAAAAACAGAAAAACGGCGAAAGGAATTCTAAAATTAATTTCTATTGTCTACACGTGAACCTGAATCAATCATTATTTATTTTTCTATGATGAAATACACATTGTAATTAGCATATATGAAAATCTATCAAAATTTGTTGATTGATTAATTGTGGTTTGCTCAACGTTCAGTGGCAGGTATTTCATGCAATATTAAAGACGACTGAGATCTAATAAATAATCAATCTGTTGTTCAGTAGGTCATACGAGTTAAAAGATCTGAGATGAATGGCTGAAAATTGAAGTTGCTACTGGGAAAGGATGATATGTTGGATAAGAAGAGAATTCATTGGGTCATCTACCAATTTAACTTCCCATTTCGAATGAAAATGAATACTTTTAGATTATTAATGCTTTCATGATGAAATATGTATTGACATATCATACCTTAGTACAAGTATAACGAGTAACTTTTGTGTACCTTTACAAAAAATATTTAAGAACAATGCTGTTATTTGGTATATCGAGAAAAATGATCGTGAAAGAATACCTAACGGTGGCCAAGCATTGTGATCGGATCGTGAATGTAATTAATTGTAATTCTGTTTCACAATCTGGGCAATTCTGCTGTATTTTCAAAACGCGGAAAAATCCGAATAATAAATTATGTCTGTCAAAATGATTCAACTTTCTCCATAATACTGTGCAATAAGATTTAGAAAGGATGCAGTAGAAAACACAAAAGGCGCAATACAAGTGTATGGCATTCAATAAAAAATAAACACGTTTTGTACTTATAATGGTCACATTCAAATATATAATGATATATTTGAAACTGAATCTTTGGTGTGTTATATAGTTCAGTAAAAAACAAGTTGTTTTCCTTTGAAACCGTTCATTTTGATACACCTGAACAAAACTGACAAGACATTTGTGCTGTTTACCTTAAATAGTTGTATACCTGTAATCTTAAGAATATTTACCAAAATCATTGTAAGATGTTCACATTATTTTTAAAAGTTCTTCCGAAAAAACCACAAAATCAGGAAAAAATTATTCGGGTAAACCAGAAATATTATAAGAAATACAGTATATGTTTCTGAGGAAAACGATAGAGAAAATGAAACTTTTGTGGATGGAAAATTTTTAATTTTGACCGAAATTATTCAATTAGCTTTCTTATCAGTGGGTTAAAATTGGAAACTATAATCCTCTTGTGGTTATTCTGTTGAACGAATAGTCCAAGGAACTGTACCATTATAGTTTATCTAAGATAGTTTCAATTTGTGAAGACCGAAATTTCTTTTTTAAACCACCTGCTGTACCTGTTGACTTTTAGAAATAGTCGTGGTTGTTATAAGGAACTTGCTCTACTCTATACTATTGGAGTGTTATTGATGGGGAAATGTTGATGATTTTAGCTGTATATAAATGTATTTTTCTTTTATATTAAATGATTTTTTATATGTTATGTTGATAAAGCGCAAATGCCCTTTTTTAAGCGCAAATGTCTAAAATTTTAAGTGCACTTAACCACTAAAAAAGTGCAAATCAAAAAGCGTAAATGTCCCAAGACGGACCAAACTTTATAGTCAGAAAACAATATTTCTTTTACCAATTGATATACTTGCAACTAGTTGAAGTATGTAATCAGTTTAATACGAACGGACATTAATGCTTTCATTTTTCCCCCCAAATTTATTAAAATAACTAAAAACGTGTCTAAATAATAAGATTTCCAAGATAAAACGACCTTCAGGAGCGTAACTTTTCGAAAGTAAAAATATATATGTATATGTAATGCTTAATGCATCCGCCTTGGATACATATGCATGTGTACGCATTTTTTTTTTAACTTAGAGTAAGAAACCTGTAATGCAGTGGTTGTCGTGAGTTGCTGTGTTACATATTTGTTTTTCGTTCATCATTTTCTACATAAATTTATAGGCTGTTAGTTTTCTCGTTTGAATTGTTTTACATTTGTCATTTCGGGGTCTTTTATAGCTGACTATGCGGTATGGACTTTCCTCATTGTTGAAGGCCGTACCGTGACGTATAGTTGTTAATTTCAGTGTCGTTTGGTCACTTGTGAAGGATTGCCTCAATTACAATCATAATTTTTTTTTTTTTATAATTAAAGGGTTGCTACCTTCAGTTTAAAGCAGCGTCGTTCGTGTGTACATCGTATGACAATGTTGGACTAATTCGTAACTGCGCTGACGTATACTAAAAATGTACCAAGATGACGTTATTCTTACTCGATTGTTCGATAACTTCAGTCTGTTAAAACTTAGCTATTATATCTCATTGTACCAACTTAAATGGGGAAATTACCAATCCAAAACCGTACCTCGCGATCGAATGTGCATGATGTCCAGTTTGAACTGTAATTTAGCCGATTAGGTTCTATTCTCAATCTTAAATTTGTATAATAAATCAAAACGTACGAAGGACGGACAAATAGACTGATATTGCTATAAAGCAAATAGTCGGTGTGGTACTATAAGATAATCAGATCCAATGGATTAAATGAACGATTATAGCCCTATGCACCAAACAAAGAGAACCTGAATAGGTCATTAAACTAAGAATTTAAATTATCATATGATTAGATAATGAGTTAAACGTTTTCGTAGCATCAGATCTTTCACGATCCTTTTCACGATCTTTAAAAAGCGGTTCGCGATCTTTAACGATCTACAAAATAATGTTTATGTAAATATTTCATTTTTTGCAAAATCACTCAATATGCTTACATACCATAACTTTAAGAACCATTTAAATTAATAAGTTTAACATGGAATGACATTTTTCAAAGAAAAGTTGTTTAGTCATTCGAATTATGAAAAAAATCTTGTATGTTTACATATTTAATGTCATAGAAATATCGAGCAGCAATCTGCCTTTTGTAGTTTTGTAAAAACTGTTTAATTTTAAACCTTGATTTTTCTAAGATACTGATCATAATGTTAAACCATTTGGCAGACAGTTTTATTTTTGTTGTAAATTTTTCCGTATTGTTCATTAAATTATATTAGTAATTGACCTAGCAAATGTCTTCTCGATAAGATTTCCTTCACAATCCTATACCAGAGCTTTCACGATACTTGACCACCGTTAGTATATATAAAAAAGAAGATGTGGTATGACTGCCAATGAGACAACTCTCCACAAGAGACCAAATGACACAGAAATTAACAACTATAGGTCACGGTTCGGCCTTCAACAATGAGCAAAGCCCATACCGCATAGTCAGCTATAAAAGACCCCGAAATGACAAATGTAAAACAATTCAAACGAGAAAACTAACGGCCTAATTTATGTTCAAAAAAATTAACGAAAAACAAATATGTTTACATAAAAATTTGAAAAAAAGTTTGACAAAAAAAATATTTTGAATGTTGAATGTTGAAAACGAATGTTGAATGTTTTAAAAGAATGATGAATGTTGAAAACGAATGTTGAAAGTTGAAAATCGAATGTTGAAAACGAATGTTGAATGTTGAAAATCGAATGTTGGAAACGAATGTTGAATGTTGAAAACGAATGTTGAAAACGAATGTTGAAAACGAATGTTGAAAAGGAATGTTGAATGTTGAATGTTGAAAACGATTGTTGAATGTTGAAAACGAAAGTTGAATGTTGAAAACAAACGTTAAATGTTGAAAACGAGTGTTGAAGATTGAAAAATTTGAATGTTGAAAACGAATGTTGAATGTTGAATATTGAAAATGAATGTTGAATGTTGAAAACGAATGTTGAATGATAAAAAAGGAATGTTGAAGGTTAAAAATCGAATGTTGAAAACGAATGTTGAATGTTGGTGGAAAACGAATGTTGAAAACGAATGTTGAAAACGAATGTTGAATGTTGAAAATCGAATGTTGAAAACGAATGTTGAAAACGAATATTGAAAACGAATGTTGAATGTTGAAAACGAATGTTGAATGTTGAAAGTTGAAAATCGAATGTTGAAAACGAATGTTGAATGTCGAAAATGAATGTTGAATGTTGAAAATCGAATGTTGAAAACGAATGTTGAATGTTGAAAACGAATGTTGAATGTTGAAAGCGAATGTAAAATGTTGAAAACGAATTTTGAATGTTGAAAACGAATGTTAAATGTTGAAAATCAAATGTTGAAAGCGAATGTTGAATGTCGAAAACGAATGTTGAATGTCGAAAACGAATGTTGAAAGTTGAAAATCGAATGTTGAAAACGAATGTTGAATGTCGAAAATGAAAGTTGAATGTTGAATATCGAATGTTTAAAACGAATGTTGAATGTTGAAAACGAATGTTGAAAGTTTAAAATCGAATGTTGAAAACGAATGTTGAATGTTGAAAATCGAATGTTGAAAACGAATGTTGAATGTTGAAAGTTGAAAATCGAATGTTGAAAACGAATGTTGAATATCGAAAACGAATGTTGAAAGTTGAAAATCGAATGTTGAAAACGAATGTTGAATGTTGAAAATCGAATGTTGGAAACGAATGTTGAATGTTGAAAACGAATGTTGAAAACGAATATTGAAAAGGAATAATGAATGTTGAATGTTGAAAACGATTGTTGAATGTTGAAAACGAAAGTTGAATGTTGAAAACAAACGTTGAATGTTGAAAACGAGTGTTGAAGATTGAAAAATTTGAATGTTGAAAACGAATGTTGAATGTTGAATGTTGAATGTTGAAAACGAATGTTGAATGATAAAAAAGGAATGTTGAAGGTTGAAAATCGAATGTTGAAAACGAATGTTGAATGTTGATTGAAAACGAATGTTGAAAACGAATGTTGAAAACGAATGTTGAATGTTGAAAATCGAATGTTGAAAACGAATGTTGAAAACGAATGTTGAAAACGAATATTGAAAACGAATGTTGAATGTTGAAAACGAATGTTGAATGTTGAAAGTTGAAAATCGAATGTTGAAAACGAATGTTGAATGTCGAAAATGAATGTTGAATGTTGAAAATCGAATGTTGAAAACGAATGTTGAATGTTGAAAAGGAATGTTGAAAGTTGAAAATCGAATGTTGAAAACGAATGTTGAATGTTGAAAACGAATTTTGAATGTTGAAAGCGAATGTAAAATGTTGAAAACGAATTTTGAATGTTGAAAACGAATGTTGAATGTTGAAAATCAAATGTTGAAAGCGAATGTTGAATGTCGAAAACGAATGTTGAAAGTTGAAAATCGAATGTTGAAAACGAATGTTGAATGTCGAAAATGAAAGTTGAATGTTGAATATCGAATGTTTAAAACGAATGTTGAATGTTGAAAACGAATGTTGAAAGTTTAAAATCTAATGTTGAAAACGAATGTTGAATGTTGAAAATCGAATGTTGAAAACGAATGTTGAATGTTGAAAGTTGAAAATCGAATGTTGAAAACGAATGTTGAATATCGAAAATGAATGTTGAATGTTGAAAATCGAATGTTGAAAACGAATGTTGAATGTTGAAAACGAATGTTGAATGCTGTAAAAGAATGATGAATGTTGAAAACGAATGTTGAAAGTTGAAAATCGAATGTTGAAAACGAATGTTGAATGTTGAAAATTGAATGTTGAAAACGAATGTTGAATGTTGAAAACGAATGTTGAATGTTGAAAACGAAAGTTGAATGTTGAAAACAAATGTTGAATGTTGAAAACGAGTGTTGAAGATTGAAAAAATCGAATGTTGAAAACAAATGTTGAATGTTGAAAACGAGTGTTGAAGATTGAAAAAATCGAATGTTAAAAACGTATGTTGAATGTTGAAAACAAATGTTGAATGTTGAAAATGAATGTTGAATGTTGAAAACGAATGTTGAATGATGAAAATGAATGTTGAAGGTTGAAAATCGAATGTTGAAAACGAATGTTGAATGTTGAAAACGAATGTTGAATGTTGAATGTTGAAAACGAATGTTGAAAACGAATGTTGAAAACGAATGTTGAAAACGAATGTTGAAAACGAATGTTGAATGTTGAAAATCGAATGTTGAAAACGAATATTGAAAACGAATGTTGAATGTTGAAAACGAATGTTGAATGTTGAAAACGAATGTTGAATGTTGAAAGTTGAAAATCGAATGTTAAAAACGAATGTTGAATTTCGAAAATGAATGTTGAATGTTGAAAATCGAATGTTGAAAACGAATGTTGAATGTTGAAAACGAATGTTGAATGTTGAAAACGAATGTTGAATGTTGAAAACGAATGTTCAAAACGAATGTTCAAAACGAATGTTCAAAACGAATGTTGAATGTTGAAAATCGAATGTTGAAAACGAATATTGAAAACGAATGTTGAATGTTGAAAACGAATGTTGAATGTTGAAAGTTGAAAATCGAATGTTGAAAACGAATGTTGAATGTCGAAAATGAATGTTGAATGTTGAAAGTCGAATGTTGAAAACGAATGTTGAATGTTGAAAACGAATGTTGAATGTTGAAAACGAATGTTGAAAGTTGAAAATCGAATGTTGAAAACGAATGTAAAATGTTGAAAACGAATTTTGAATGTTGAAAACGAATGTTGAATGTTGAAAACGAATGTTGAAAGTTGAAAATCGAATTTTGAAAACGAATGTTGAATGTCGAAAATGAATGTTGAATGTTGAAAATCGAATGTTGAAAACGAATGTTGAATGTTGTAAAAAAAAAAAAAAAAATGAAAAAAAAGTTAAACAACAAAAAAATTTTAGAAAATAAAAATATCAATAACATTAATTCCAAAGCTATTAAATTCTATCATTCTTGTCATTCTTGGTCTATTAATATATATTTATCTTTAGTCGGAGTTGTTACCAGCTTATCCGGATGCTGCCTCTTTCACCCTGAGAGTATCATTCTTCATAACAGATTGGGGAGTTTCAGGAGTCGAACCTCTAATAACCAGTAAATACATAAGAAGATCAAAGCCCCTTTTCAATCGATTTAAAAATATATATTTGCCTAACAGAACTGCTACCATGGATACACATGTAGTGTGGCCGATGAAAGGATATCGAAGGTATTTATCATTTACTTAAACACTGAAAGTAAATTGTGTGCATATAAAACTTAAACTCATTGTTGAAGGCCGTCCTTGTTTTGTTGGTCGTTGATAGATAATTGTGTCCATAGCAATTATATCACAAGATTTTTGTGATGATGAGGGTATTACCAACCCAGAAGTCAGCACTTTTGTATTGACATTGCATTTCATTGGTATTTTCATTTTCTGTTGCTCAATTACATCATGGAATGAGAGGTGAATTTGTGAATTCCTCGTGTTTCACACCTTTCCGTTTCCATTAAAAATCGTATCATCGACTTAAATATCCACGAATATTTCGAATGTTTTCTTCAAATTTCCCGCACCGGAATCCGCCATTTTTTATTTGACTGCCACAAGAAAGATAACTCTGCCGATTTAAAACACAAAAACACTTTTGCCCTATCCCGGAATAAATCTGAAACTCATTTTAAAGGTCACTACTCTTGAGCGGTCATTTTTATACTTCCCAAGAGTGATTGCTCAATACAGGTTTGCAATAGCTGTATTTGGCTGTTTTCAGAATTTTAGATTAAATTTTCCTTTAATTTCGTATTTGATTTGGCCTTACAACTGATTAGATTCAATCGGCATTGATGAGTCTTATATAGTTAAGTGTTTCTGTTGTTCCATTGTTTTCCTCTTATAGTTGATGTGTTTCCCCCGGTTTTAGTTTGTTACCCAGATTAATCGAATTATGACTAATTGAACAGCGGCATACTTCTGTTGACTTTATTTATTTAGATAAACACGCATATGGTGTTTTTAATTAAAACTCTGGTATATTTGATAAAATTGTATCCGTAAATGCAAAAAGGTTAAATTGGATTTGCAATTCATTGAGTTTGATTGGTTATAGGTGGTAAGCGCAATGTTTGATATTTAATTATTTTTAAATTCTATATTATTTTTTTTAACTAGTAATAATGAATGGGATTTGGTTTAAAAAAGTGATAGAATATGTATGAGTTACGTGAATATGAATTAAATGTTAACTTTCTCAGCTTCGTTGTAATATGTTATTACATCTAATAGATAGCCCTTTGTTTTTTCTCTGAAATCTTTATTTTCTTATGAAAGTCAATTTAAATACTAAGATTAATACCAAGATCTTCCTTTTATATGGGACGTTAAGATCTTGCAAAAGTGTTTTATTGAAACTCATACTCGATACAATGGTTATTTATAAGTGCAGTGAATGGGGGAAAAGTAGAGATGTTGTATAAGAAATTAATCCACTAAAGACAAAGTACCAAGTATGTACACAACAAGTCAACGTAAGGCATTCAACATGCACAACTCCAAAACTAATAGTATACTATAAAACCCCTCGCATTAACAAAATGTGAATTAATATAGAAACAAATTAACTAACAGTCTAACTAAGACTAATGCCATTAATCAACAAAATAAATAATGGCAGGCCGCATCCAACGATAACTACTAAATTAGTGGCTCCTTGTGTTGCCTATTCAGGCATTTGATGAAAATGATTAAGTTAAACATGTTTTTAAGCATTCAAGTCTATCATTTAAAGCCGGTAGTTGTGGTACCTTGCAAAATAAAATCAAACTGTAAAATTTAGCTGCAAAATGCTTCTAATATTAGATCGATACTAAGCACAAAAATACCTATACAAAATGCACAATGTACCTATATATATTAAAAATCTATGTGATATATACTATTTTTTCTAAATTTCAAAATATCAACTTATTATTAGTTTTGTGGATTTCTTCGGTAAAGGTGGACCATGAATTTAAATGATCAAAGAAGTACACATTTTCTATATGCGTGTATGCATACAAAGGCGATACCACGAAATCAAATATCAACGAAAATACAGTTTTTATTTATAATTTCCTATACAATTGGGTTCCACGAAAATAAGTGAATTCACAGTAGTTCATAAACACATGAAACGTATCTACACTACTATTCCAACTTTTCCCTACTGAAATAAGAATCGTGCATACAAATTCCTTGTATATGGTCATCTTAATTTGTGACAAACCACACTTATTCCAACACCAAAACCATCGATGATGATATTATGAAAATGCTGGACTTTTTAATCGACAACATATTTGTTGAGTTTGGTGGATTGAATGTTTAACATACTGTCAGTATTCAAATGGTTGCTAATTGTAAATTCCTACTGACCAACTCGTTGTTGAACTTATATGAAGCAGAACTCATACTGAACCATCTCAAACGAAAAACAAAAAAATCTCATAAAGTTGATTTCTCTTTCAGCTAAAGTGATGCTGTCCTTTCACAATAACCAACATTTTCGAGAATTATAAATATCTCCCATTGATTTGTAATGAAGAATATTACCGAAACTAGAATGTCTGATTCATGTCCCCAACGTTGTTAAACCAAGTACTTTTTTTCTTTTTTTTTCTTTTAATTTTTCGAGTTTCACTGATGAGTCTTTAGTGGACGAAACGCGTGTCTGGCGTTCACAACTTTAATCCTGGTATCCTGGTATCAATGATGACTTCAGATTAATCTCTTCCTCGATAAATACACTCATGAAAGACTTCAAACGAAAATCTATTACAAAATTGACGTTTTTAACTTTCCAACTGTCAACTTCTCATTTCTCAGCAATAGCATACGCTCTCCCAATCTTATGTCATAAACATATCTTAATTAATACACTACGCTCGTGCTTTCACACTTTATGGAATTCTTTGACAGCCTCACAGGGATGTTCTTTTTACACTAAAGCTGCTCTAACAGAGTTATGAGGAAACACGACTAAAATTTACTTTAACGGTTACCATCACAAATATGTCTGTGTCTCAACTCACTAGCGACACGTGTTGCCTGGCTTATATCTTTCGATACCAGAATAGTCGTCTTATCGGTAAATCTACCCATTGTGTCTTAACCCCAATTACGGAATTTTCACTTAGTAAGAATTCGGAGGAAGAATTTTTAGCAGGAAGCGCTAACGCACAAGGTCTCGCACCTTAACAAATTAAGGCAATCCCTCAGGCTTTTTTATGCTAACTTTGATTTGTATCCTCGTAACAGATTAATGATATTTGAACATCGTATACTACTGTTGGCTCTTTCAAGTATAGTGGGAAGACGTAAAAGAGAGGCAAAATATACCAAAGGGACATTCAAACTCTTAAGTCGAAGTAAACTAGTAATCCAATGGCAAAACAAAAACCAAAAGACATGAGCTCATGTGCTCCGGGAGGGTAAGCAGATCCTGCTCCACATGTGGCACACGTTGAGATAAGTCTAATTTGGTAGGTCACATTTGGGGAAAAGGAGGGCGCAAACATAGCCGTCATCATCTATGAAACATATATTCCGTAAGTCGTGATGGCGTCCGAAAAATATCCAAAGGAATCATTTCAGGTAGTCTGAGAAAAGCATGGTCATCCTCAAAACAAAATCACACACAGTTTAGAGCTATTTAATATTTTCAATTAACGAAATTATGTTCATTAGTAAAATACAAAGTGAAATGACGTGTTAATTATAACTATAATCAAACTAAAACAGTCTATAAATTTCATAGAAAAATATCAGAAAAATATCCTAGAATAGTTAGTTTTATGAATAATACTGTTGTTAAAAGCTTGGTGTGCATTTTTGTATGTATTTCCTATAGATGGAATCTTATGCACTTTTCATTGTTTTACTGATTACCACTGTCCCAGGTTAGGTGGAGGGTAAGGCGCTAGCAAACATGTTTAAACCGCTACATTATTTATGTGCCAGTCCCAAGCCAGTGGCCTGAAGTTAAGTGGTTGTCGTTGATTCTTCTCTGTCATATCTTTTTGTAAATTGTTTTGTTATAAATTTGGCTGTTAGATTTTCCAATTGAATTGTTTTATATGTTTCATATCGGGACCATTTATAGCCGACTTCCTGGTATGGTTTTTTTTCATTGTTGAATGCCGTACGGTTGCATATAATTGCTTTCGTCAACTTCATTTGAACTTTAATGGGTAGTTGTCTCATTGGCACTTCTCCTTTTTTATATTCTAGAATAGATATTTGATATAATTGAAATTAGAAGAAGTGTTGACAAATTAATGACATCAATCACCCTGCTGAACAATTGCATTGATACAAGTGACGTTTATTACAGTATAGAATGTACCTACAGCATACAAATTTGTCTCTGGTCGTGTATTAACCTCTAGTTTTTCTTTGTTTTTATGTCATTTTGTTACTGCCTATTGGTCTTTTTGCCGCACAACCAATGTAATTCAAACTTTTTATTCATAAATTAAATAAATTTATTCAATTTCCATTATAATTATTCATTTACATTACTTTTGTATTACAGAACAATTTTTTTTCTGTTACAGGATTAGGCTACGATCACACAATGTAATATTATATCACTACAGAAAATGTAAGAACTCAGACAATACTACAGATGTTTGTATGACATTTTCCAAACATAATGATACTAAGATGATAAAAGTAATGTTTGAATTATATGATAAAGTAGTCGCCGTTCAAAGAAGATGTGGTATATCTGCTTGATAAATAACATATTTATGAATTGAACTGATATACAATTATTTGATATCAATCACCAATAAGATTGTTATGAACATACTGATATTGTAAACACGTTTTGATTTGTATTTGCAGTGTATGTTTTTCGTCGGTATATTGGTATTCAACGATTTTCATTTGCTTCAAGTGTGGAAAACAATACATGTTGCTATGGTTTTATGTTTTCCCTTACGTTTATTTCAATAGTAAGTTTTCATCTTAATGAAGAACATTTTGAGAGTTATCTTTATATTTCGGCTGGTTTACTGATAAATTATTTGTTTTGTTTGATTATATTTCTAAGATTTTCGTGAGATATAATAATGCATTGACCTTCAATTCTAATCAAATAACAGCTCTTTAAAGTACACCCCTGAATAAAAAATGTTACAATCCAGGTAATACCTTACTGCGCATGCCCATAGGTAACATCGTATACCTCGGGCTACAATAGATTGACTTTCAATTTAGCTCTCTATGAGTTAAGACGTTTTTTTCCAAATTATTTAAAGGTTAGTGGGTTTATTATTTTAGTTAGCATGGCTAACGCCCAACTCAATGACATTCCGTTAGGGATGACTACACCGTCTCGAGAGAGCGGTGCACTTGATTCTGAAGACCATAGGGTCATTGAAGAAAATGAAAGTTTTACCGCAGTGACGGTAGAAACTGATAAGGTAGTCGAGTCTTTGGGCTCTTCTCACAAGGCGAGGAGAAATATCTCTTCTCGTCAAGATGATGAAATGTCGTTGGTCGACGGGACAGAAGAAGATGTCAGACAGAGCTGGTCTGACCTAGATACCAAAAACCTTAAACGGAAACGGGACGATTCCGTACCTAACAGAAAAGGTAAGGTTAAACACAGGAAAGTTGTTAATCATTCTAGCAGTTCCTCTGAAAATACTAGTAGCAGTGAATTATCTTCTAGTAACTCTGAATCAGAGAGTTCAGAAGACAATGAAGCGTTTGACCCAGAACCTTCTTTGTCTAAAGATAAAAAAGAAAAAGTACCATCTCATATTACCAAATATATAGAGAAGTATGCTCTAAAGGGTATAAGTAAAAAGACGAGACAAGATATGTCTTTGAATTGGCCTATTACTTCTTCTAAAGGATTAAAGGCTCTTGAAACAGATAGATTTTTTAAGAAAAATTATTTTCAAGGTAGAAAGTGGAATGCTAGACTAGAGAGAAGTAAAATTAACACACAGCTACGCATTCTAGATGTTATGGGTCCTCTGTCCCGTTTATGGTCTGAAGCACATAGGATTAAGAAAGATAATCAAGGTATGGACCCTGCTGATGTAATTCAATTAACACAGAGGGCTATTGTGCTAGCAGGTAATGATCACTATGTTTATAACACTGACAGGAGAAAAGCAATGTTAGTTAAAACAATGCCAGATAGTCTAGATTTTTTTAATGAGAAGAAAGGCAAGAAAGCTTTGGCAAAATCTAAGGGTCAACTTTTTGGTAATAAATTTCTAAAATCTTTGGCTAAAGAAAACAAGGATAACAAAGAACTTAGAGAAATGTTGTTGTTTTCTAACAAGAAAAGACATGCTGGTAAACCTCATTTTAATAGGAAAAATGATCAGTTTTTTCAGCAGGGGTCCACAAACAACCTGCAGTCTGTGGGCGGCAGACAAGCTCTCCATCCACAAGTTTCAGGGAAGAGACCTTGGCAGGGAAACCAGTCACAGAACAGACAGGGGAACACTTATGGTCAGCGCCAGAATCAGCGCCAGAACCAGACCCAGAACCAAATCCAGACCCAACCTCAGAACAACCAAGTGTTCAAGAAACCTGCAAACCGATAGAACGGGTAGGTCGAGAGAAAACTTTAAGTCATATACAAAACTATTTCCAATTACCAATGAATTGCATTATCAATCAAAATTCTATTCCTGTAGGGGGAAGGGTAAGTCTTTTCCTACAGAATTGGATTTCAATAACAAAAGATCCTTGGGTTCTCCAGTGTGTAAAAGGAATAAAATTCGATTTTTTAGCAACACCTTACCAAAATCAAATACCAAATCAAGCCTTTTTCAATCAAGAGAATCAGGAATTGATAAACAAAGAAATAACAGGACTTTTGAACAAGAAGGCCATAACACAGTCTTTCCTGACAAAGGATTCGTTCATAAGCAACATTTTTCTGGTACCAAAGAAGGGAGGGGGTCAAAGACCTGTTATAAATCTAAAAGGCCTAAATGTTTTTTTACGTTACGAACATTTCAAAATGGAGGAAATTCATTTGTTGAAAGATCTTCTTTTGAAGAACGATTGGATGGTAAAAATAGATCTAACGGATGCATATTTGACATTGCAAATAGCAAAAGAACACAGAAAATACTTCAGATTTTTTTGGCAGGGAAAAATAATGGAATTCAGGTCCCTCCCGTTTGGGATTGCAGTAGCCCCAAGAATATTCACAAAACTGATGAAGGTTCCCATGACTTTATTGAGACGTTTGGGTGTACGTCTGATAGTTTACCTAGACGATATTCTAATAATGAATCAGTCAAATCAGAAAATTTTGTCAGATCTCTCAACAGTTTTGTCAATATTAAGGGGCTTAGGTTTTCTGATCAATACAAACAAGTCCGTAATGGAACCTTCACAAACAATGGAGTTTCTGGGTTATACAGTAAACTCAAAGTTGTTGACTTTGTCTCTCCCGAAGGAGAAGGTAGAGAAAATAAAGAAGAGTTCAAAATTAATGCTAGAACACAAGAAAGTGTCAGCAAGAGATTTAGCTCAGTTGATTGGTCAGTTAACAGCAACCAATCAAGCTGTCCTTCCAGGTCCTCTGCATTATCGCAGTTTACAAATATTGAAAACAAAAGCCCTGCATTTGGGGGGCCATTACGATCACCAAATCCAGTTAAACGAGGAAATTCAGAACGAGTTGAATTGGTGGGTAACCAAACTGAGGTCTTGGAACGGGAAAGCGTTACTAAGACCAGAACCCCATTTAACCATTCAGTCGGATGCAAGTATGTCGGGATGGGGAGCAACATGTAAACAGATAAGTATAGGTGGGCTTTGTTTAGACGAGGAAAAATCCCTCCATATAAATCAGCTCGAGCTAAAAGCAGCTATGTTCGCAGTACAATCTTATGCCAAAAATCTACAAAACAAGCATATTCTTATACAAATGGACAACACGACAGCAATTGTATATGTAAACAAAATGGGGGGAACGGTGTCAAAAAAACTAAATTCCCTTGCAAATCAGTTTTGGGATTGGTGTCTTCAAAGGCAATTAACAACACTGCGGACTATATCCCAGGAAAAAGCAATGTTATAGCAGACTGGGAAAGCAGGCATTATGCGGATTTCAGCAATTGGCGGTTAAGTCCGATACTTTTCAAAAGTCTCATGAAACGCATAGGCCCATGCAATGTAGATCTGTTTGCAGACAGGTCAAATACTCATCTGAATCAATTTTTCAGCTGGAAGCCAGATCCCCAAGCGAAAGCGGTAGATGCCCTTCTCCAATCCTGGAGAGAGATAAAGGGTTATGCTTTTCCCCCGTTCTGTCTAATAAGTACGTGTCTGGCGAAAGTTCGGGAGGAGAACAGTCAGATAATTCTGATAACTCCAGTTTGGCAATCCCAGGCTTGGTACCCTCTGTTACTTCAAATGTCAGTAGATTACCCAGTGTTACTTCCCATGAGTCACAACACTTTATTGTCTCCCATGAAAGAGCCACACCCACTGATTCTGAACAAAACATTAAAATTAGCAGGGTGGATGGTCTCCGGAGATCATTTAACTCAATTGGAATTTCAGAGGAAATTAAGAATTACTCCTTGGGTCTTGGAAATCAGGAACAAGATCTTCTTACGACAGTGCCTGGAATAAGTGGTCTAGCTGGTGTAACTCACGGGAAATTGATCCCTTTTCAGCACCTTTGGCCGCTATCTTAGATTTTTTGACTTGGATGTATAAAGAGGGGTATCAATACAGAACTTTAAAAGTTCACCGTTCGGCCATATCTTCAGTCTTGCCATATATCGATGGCGTCCCAATTGGTCAATTACCTATAGTAAAACAATTAATGAAAGGTGTTCTACAAAATAACCCACCTTTACCAAAATACCAATTTTCATGGGATTTGGATATTGTTCTCAAATATTTATCCGCTTTACCAATAAACAAAAAACTTGATTTTTCAGTTTTAGGTAAAAAGTTATCAATTTTATTGGCTTTGGCAGCGCCTAAAAGGATATCTGAAATTGCAAGGTTAGACAGAAGATTCATGTCCAGAGACAAAAGTAGTATAATTTTTCACTTACCGGGTCTGTCTAAAACACAAAAAGATTGCAATAACAGATCAGTGAAATACTGCAAATTTTCAAAGAAAAAATTATGTGTTATTTCTTGTATACATGAATATGAATTGAGAACTGAACATTTAAGGCCTGTAAGTAAAAATGAACCTGATCCTTTATTAAGGTCAACTAAGAAACCTTTTAAAGGTCTATCTTCACAGACAGTTGGAAATTGGATTAAATGGGTTATGAAGGAGGCAGGAATCGACATCTCATTGTTTCAAGCACATTCTTGTCGCATGGTCTCAACTAGCAAGGCAGCTATGAGTGGCATCAGTATGGATGATATTTTGTCCATGGCAGATTGGTCCAACACTAGAACGTTTAATACATTTTTTTTAGGACTAATGAAAAAGCGGGTTTTGCAGATAAAGTTCTAGAAATGGTAAGCTTGCTTTAAACGTGCATTTATTATATCTCACGAAAATCTTAGAAATATAATTTCAGATTTTATGAGGGCGCAAAGCGCCCGAAATGAAATATTGATTATATGATAAGATTAGAGTGAGATATAATAATTCATATAAAAATGCATTATTATAGAGAAATTAAATACATTGCAAATAGATGTGGTATGATAACAATAAGACGACTCTTGATCTAAGTATTTCTAAACAGTATTTAATAAAATATGAAATATTACACAGAATGTTTATTCTCGAATGCAAACTTGAAATATACATCTATATCATTATATTTTTCAGAACGGATAGCGTTGGATGGACATGTATATGACTGGTATTCCAAACAATAATTGCAGTATTGTGGCAGTGTGGCGGAATATGATAAAGAACATTTATATGCAGTTTTTTCGTGGACTATAAAGAAATTACTGACTTTACCGTGTATACTCTGTGAAATATTTTGATGTACATTTGATAATACAAATGATTATTTTCTGTAGTTATTTTTTTTAAGTAACTGCCTTATTATATCTATTCAGTCCAAACAGTTCAGTCTTCAGATGTTTGGTCAGACTTCACAGGTGGTAATACTTGGTCTTGGACACCAGGAAAAAAGACTTTAGATGTTGGATTTTGCTTTTTGCTTAGTGAAGTGATAATTGGTATTTTGGGTGTCAATTTGTTTATTCATTATCCAGATGCGTAGAAATATGTCTATGGTAAAACTATATCCATTGTTTACTGAATCGGTTACTTTCGTAGCAGATCTACATCATTTGAACAAGAACATGATATTTTATTGGTTCAGATCTTGGTTTTGGTTGTTTTATATCAAACATAATTGTTTGAAGTTTTAGGTTTGGCTTCATTGAAAGTCAATCTATTGTAGCCCGAGGTATACGATGTTACCTATGGGCATGCGCAGTAAGGTATTACCTGGATTGTAACATTTTTTATTCAGGGGTGTACTTTAAAGAGCTGTTATTTGATTAGAATTGAAGGTCAATGCATTATTATATCTCACTCTAATCTTATCATATAATCAATATTCCTTTCGGGCGCTTTGCGCCCTCATAAAATCTGAAATTCAATATCTGTAATTGAGTCATATAAGGGAAGATTAATCAGATACTTTAACTTTCTGACGGATTGCACAGTACATAAATCTTATTTCTTTTGTATCTAGAAAACAAAAACGTTCACATCTTTTTTCAATTTTATTTCCTGGAAGCTCTTTAAGCCAGCGGCTAGTAAATATGTACTGGCATGAAAATCAAATATTGCTTTGTTTATATGTATTTTTGATGATTGCAATTGGCTGTTACAAAGTTTTGGAAATTAGTTTAGATAAAGGAATATTTCTCACTCATGCAAAGCTCTGATTCCTTTTCCTGATTTTGGTATACTTTTTATGCTTTTTTTTGCTGTCATTATCTCTTCAATTTGTGAATGAGATTCAAATATGTTGGCCTCGAACATCACTGAAGAGACAAGTATTCTCAAAATTCGTACATTCTTTAAAATTAAATAATAATCTTTCTCATAAAAAGCTCTTATCATTTGCCCTGCTTTGGCTATCTGTTTCCCCCTTTATGGTTTTATCAATTCTTTCATTTGTGAATAAGATATGGATTATCATATATTTTAGCATCGAGCATCACTGAAGAGACGTTAATAGTCCAAATACACATAAGTTGCAGTAAAATGTTATAAAATTTAATAGCTATTAGATAATATTTTGTTTAAATTTCTTAGTTTTTTTTCACTTTTTTGACATTTTACACAAACCCAAACTTTTGTTTATTTTTGTTGGAAAACGCGTAATATAAATTACAGTTTGGCGAAGAATAAAATACATTCCACCCTCTTGCTTCATTTACCTTATTATTAAAAGAAGCGCATATACATTTAAAGAGAATTCCCTACTGGATCATATTTGTGTTAAGTGCATACATTATACCGAAGGCCTGATCAATATCAAATTACCTCAATCAAATCACATTATCAAATTTGAAACGCATGAATAGCCATGAATGAATGCAAACGATTATTTTGTCTGTCATTTGCACGTGAAAGCACAAACGGAAGTACATCTTGTACAAATGTCTGAAACATACATAGAAACGGACTGCAGATAACAATTGCCATATTCCTGACTTGGTACAGGAAAATTTAAGAAAAATGGTGGGGTGAACCCGTTGTTATGGCTAGCCAAACCTCCCGCTTATATGGCAATGTTAAAAATGCCGCTAAAATGACAAACAAACGCAAGAACACTCAGCACAGAGAAACACATAAATAAATAATATAATAGTACATTACAATATGTAAACCACAGAATAACAACGGACACCTCCCATGAATTTACGACAGCACACCAGGACACCACAAACGAAATATAAACTGCGCGTCACAAAAAGTGACGTATTTTTTGTGACGTTTATATTATTACCGGTAAATTTCTAAAAATTAAAATAGATTTGTATTATAGAAACGTACAATTGGGATTGAGTTTTTAATGGTGTTATTACATGTATTTTCTAACCATGACAAGAATATTAAAATGAAATTGTGTTTGTAACGGTGTTATTATTTGTATTTTCTAACCATTTTGGTTTTTCTTCTAAATCAAAACTGTGTATAAACAAAAAAATCCTGTGCATATAGTTGCTTTAAACTTAAAATCATATAAACGAAGTAGCTGATTTTTTGTCTTAACTTTTACATACATATAGAAAATAAAATAAAATAACTGTATTATAAGGCAATATCATGTAAGAGCAAACAGTACACACATGAAAACAAACACACACACACCGGTTTTGGAAAGTTCTTATACATCCCCACAACAAAAAAAGAAATTAAGTACAGATCTGAGAGTACTCGCAGTTACTGGCAGCTAGTTACTGACAAAGCCAATAACAACTAATAAAAAATGCATGCATCTAATACTGAAATACCAATCAGTACGCATCCAACATCCAATGGATTTAGTGTAAAGACGTCATTAACAGTCAGAGAAATACATAACCTTATACAATGCCAAGATACAGGTCACGACAGATTGTAGAGCCATGAATGTGCATATGTATATAAATATACTATTTAGTTTGATTTTAATTTACAGATAGCAAAATCAATATTATACCAATAAATGCAATTTTCAAAGGTCTAATTACAGTGTTGAATTGGTAAGCTTTAAGAATAGGTTTGCTTAAAGGATCGATAAGTTTACCCGGATCGCATCTAAATTTCCGGGCTCTGTAAACAACATCTCCGTAAAAATTAGGATGTGCTATCCCGTTAGAAATAAGTTTTCTACAGATACAATCAAACTTCCAAACCAAATCTTTGTATCTATGGAAGAATTCAGTAAAGGTCAGTCCGTGACCCCCAGTTATTATATTGAAATTTGAAAGTACATTGACCCAGAAGTATTTTACGGAAGTTTAAAAAAATCTATCGTCGAACATTTCGACACTTCAGCTACCTTAACGTTTTTGATCACAGCTGAAATCACACTTGCCAGAGAGCTATGCACAGCTTAACGTATCGTTCACTTATCTATACGATATTCGTTGCCATGTTTTAACATGGCCATGTTTCTCCGTTTGTGTTGGCTTGTTGTCTATATAAATATAAATCATATCTCTCCATTTCCTGTTGAGACCGTCCAATTAAGTATAGCTGTTTTAACTTCAGTTTTTCCAATTTCACGTTATATTATTATATATATCTATTATATAGTCATTTTTATAAATTTACTGTTTGCAAAATTATGAATTATTCTAAATACTAAGGATTTTCTTATCCCAGACCTATAACCTTAGCCGTATTTGGCACAACTTTTTGAAACTTTTGGTCCTCAATGCTCTTCAACTTTGTACTTGTTTTGGCTTTCGTACTTTTTTGATCTGAGTGTCACTGGTTAGTCTTGTGTGGACGAAACGCGTGTCTTGCGTATTAGATTTTAAACCTGGTACCTTTTGTTAGCTATTATTCGTATGTTTCTCTGTCCTATATGTACTCCCATTTATTTGTATTGTAGTCCTGTCATGTAATGTTGTCATTTTAATGTTATATTTAACATTGCCATAAAAGCGGGAGGTTTGGCTAGCCACAAAACCAGGTTCAACCCACCATTTTTTTCTTAAAATGTCCTGTACCAAGTCAGGAAAATGGCCATTGTTATATTATAGTCCGTTTCTGTGTGTGTTACATTTTAATGTTGTGTTTCTGTTGTGTCGTAGTTCTCCTCTTATATTTGATGCGTTTCCCTCAGTTTTAGTTTGTAACCCGGATTTGTTTTTTTCTCAATCGATTTATGAATTTCGAACAGCGGTATACTACTGTTGCCGTTAAAGTCATTTATAAGGTAGTGTAGGATTTTAAGATAGCAGTTTGTAAAAAGAATGAGTTGGTGCATTTCCCATCAAACTCTTCATAATAACAATGTTGTGCATTTAAAAAAAAAATCAAAAGTAGCATCCAAAGACGGACGAAAGTTAACATTAAAGAAAAACATCCAAGCGAAAACCAAACGAAATAAGAAACAAATCTAGGGGCAAAACAAAACAAAGCGAAAAATCTAATCATAAAACATTACTTTATGTGTATGGATACAGTTTGATTTTTATAATTTTCTTAAATGTAAAAGTAAAATCTATTATGTTTAAAAGACATACAAAGTTCTTATCAAAATTTGTTCTAAACATTTGAATTCGATAAGAATAACACCTTAAAAAGAGCAATCTGCATTTCAACACTTAAAGTACCGGGGAACTTCCATTGACTACATTTGGGAACAGTTCTTATACATCTTTCTTTGTAACTGTCAGAATAATATATTATAGAGCTGTTCTAAACTTTCAGAATCTTTTTTCAGGGTAGAACTGTCGAAATCTAATCAAGGGTCGAACTGCACATATATGTGGGTAGAACTATCTGAATCTGTTCTGTGTTAGTACAGATCTAAATGACCGCAAACTAGTGGACTAGTGTGTAGAGACACAGAAACATCGTATCGGTCAACTAATTGGTGATGGTTACCGTAAAACTTAATATGTAGTGTCGATTTTGATGGTTCCTCCTCAAAACTAATGTAGAAGCAGTTTTGTGTAAGGAGCCCTGTTTAAGAAGTCCTCAAGTGTGAACATGGACGTGAGGAATGTATTAAATGAGATATACAAACGCTATACACTGCTGAGACATGGGAAGTTGACAATTAGAAAATTTAAATCATAACGAGTTTCATCGATTGTGGTTTGAAGTCATACAGCTATGTGAATGTCGATGACAAAATATGAAGTACACCTTTTCTTTTGGTAATATCCTTAGTCTCAAGTTCACTGGGATATATGATACATGACGTAAGAACTCATTGAAATGAGGTTTGTATAGTGACAGAACGTCATCAATATATATAAAAGTGATATTAAAGAACTTTGCAAGAGGCTTTTTCCTTTACTCTTTGAGAATTGACCAGTTTCTATCTC